GACAGGTCTCTCGAGAACTGTCTAGAAGCCGCCGATAAAGTTATTGAGATCCTCAACAAATCTAATGAGACCCTCAATGTTATGATAAAGAACCAACTAGAAATGAAGCATACACGGACTGAAATAAAGAATAGTATACAGAGTTCCAACAGCAGACTAGAGGATTGCAAGAATCAAGTCAAAGATTTGAAATACAAAGAAGCAAAAATCACCCAACTGGAGAAACAAAAAGAAAAAAGAATCCAAAAATATGAAGATAGTGTAAGGAGCCTCTGGGACAACTTCAAGCATCCCAACATCCGAATTATAGGGGTGCCAGAAGAAGAGAGAGCAAGATACTGAAAACCTATTTGAAGAAATCATGACAGAAAACTTCCCCTACCTGATGAAAGAAATAGACTTACAAGTCCAAGATGCACAGAGAACCCCAAACAAAAGGACTCCAAAGAGGACCACACCAAGACACATCATAATTAAAATGCCAAGGGCAAAAGACAAAGAGAGAATCTTAAAAGCAGCAAGAGAAAAACAGTTAGTTACCTACACGGGAGTACCCATGAAATTGTCAGCTGATTTCTCAACACAAACTATGTAGGCCAGAAGGGAATGGCAAGAAATATTCAAAGTGATGAATAGCAAGAACCTACAACCAAGATTACTTTACCCAGCAAAGCTATTATTCAGAATTGAAGGTCAGATAAAGAGATTCACCGATAAGAAAAAGCTAAAGGAGTTCATCACCACCAAACCAGTATTATATGAAATGCTGAAAGGTATTCTTTAAGAAGAGGAAGAAGAAGAAAAAGGTAAAGATACAAATTATGAACAACAAATACATATCTATCAACAAGTGAATCTAAAAATCAAGTGAATAAATAATTTGATGAACAGAATAAACTGGTGAATATAATAGAATCAGCGGCATAGAAAGGGAGTGGACTGACAATTCTCTGGGGGGAAATGGGTATGGAGGGTGCGGGAAGAGACTGGACAAAAATCGTACACCTATGGATGAGGGCAGTGGGGGGGAGGGTGAGGGCGGAGGGTGGGGTGGGAACTGGTTGGAGGGGAGCTATGGGGGAAAAAAGAGGAACAACTGTAATAATCTGAACAATAAAGATTTAATTTAAAAAAAGATGAAAGATTAACACTTAATATTCTAATTACTGTTTTGCATATGTCTCCCCCATAAGACTGAATATATTTAATTTCATCTTTGCATTATCTAACAAAAACTCAATGACTGTCATGTAGGTGGCTTAATATATTAACTGAATAAGCAGATAAACTATCTATAAATTTTCCCCTCCTGTAAATGTCTAGTAAGACATGTCCTTTAATGTAATCAAGTATCCATTTTGTCTTCCCCTTTGCTTAATGACCTAGTAAATAAAATTCAGTGGCACAACAGATGTTGTGTTTACATTAAGGACATCAGATATTGCCTCAATAGCTTTTTTTTAAAAATACACTTTTATTGATTTCAGAGAGAGAGGGAGAGATAGATAGAAACATCAATGATGAGAGGGAATAATTGATCGGCTGCCTCCTGCATGCCCCAGTCACCCACCACCACTGGGGATCAAACCCGCAACTCAGGCATGTGCCCTTGAATGGAATTGAACTTGGGACCCTTCAGTCTACAGACCGACACTCTATCCACTGAGCCAAGCCGGCTAGGGCGCCTCAATAACTTTTTAATTAACCAGTTAACTGCTACACGTCCAAAACGGAGACCATCCCCACATGCCACAATATTTTGAATTTAATTGCGTCTATACTTGCCTATGGCATACAAAGGGTTAAACCAACCAATCCCCACCACCACCACCACCAAAAAAGGTCATTATTCCCACCTCCTGCCTAATTATGACCTGTCATTCCTTACCTTCCTCAGGGGCAGCTGAAGCTCCTTCAGGCAGTATAGCCTGTAATTCCCCAGTTTCAGAATTATTTTCCAAGTCAGTCATTTGCATTCCTTCCAGACGACCTCCTTTAACATTAGCCCTCAAAGAAAAAGAAAACAACTTGATATTTTTCTATAACTACTCACTAATAATTGTATATTTTCTTCTCCTGAAACTGAGGATATATGCCACTCATGTCTAGTAGTAAATTTCAAGTTTATTTTTTAAAATATATTTTTATTGACTTCAAAGAGGAAGGGAGAGGGAGAGATAGAAACTTCAACGATTAGAGAATATCATTGATTGGCTGCCTGCTGCACGCCCCACACTGGGGATCAAGCCTGCAACCCAGGCATGTGCCCTGACCCAGAATCGAACCATGACCTCCTGCTTCATGGGTCGAAACTCAACCACATCGGCCGGGCTCAAGTTTATTTTTAAAAATTCACCAGAGGACTCACTACAAAGGTTATAAAATGGACTACATTGGTGTCAACATCATGGCTATGATATTGTATTAGTTTTACAAAGTGTTATCATTAGGAGAAACTGGTTAAGGAATACAGGATTCTATGTATTATTTCTTTTAACTGCATGGAATCTACAAGAAAAATTTCAATTAAAAAACAGAAGTCCAAAATAATATTTTCTCAGCAATATGGAAAAACTTTTTAGATATATTATTAAGAAAACAAATGTATCTTTTGTATTAAAAAAGCTATATACTCACAGTTGCTTAAATATGCATAAAAACTGAGAAGACATACATCCTATCCTATATAATAAAAGGCTAATGTGCAAATTATCCCCTTGACCAGGAGTTAAACCAAGGGGTGGGGCCGGACTGCCAAACACTCACGGCCGTTCCCCCAAGTCAGCCTGGCCAC